TGATCACCTCGACCGGTCACGCATATATGGGCGCATGGCCGCCTCTGACTAAAAAGAATCTTCTTAGACGGTCATCCGCGAACCTTATTCAAAATAGAAAGACCCATTTCATATTTGATAGTGTTACTGGTAAAATGTTCAATACTTTTTTTTATCTTCTCTAATAATAAGAACCAAAACAAACTATTTCTGTAAATGGGTCTCCATGAGAGAGGATACTTAGATTTAGGTTATACCTCTTCTCAGTGCTGACCCTAGGGGTAGGGCACGAGGTGCGACGGCTGAGGGTCCAAGCGGAGGAGGGGCCCAAGCCCAGGTATACAAAACCCCAGGTCCTATAGTCTATTAGGCATTAGCAAACTAATGAGAAGAGAGACATAGAACTAGCCAGGTGGCCTCAAAAGACAACATCGACATTTCTTTTCTAGTTTCCTTTCCCCACGGCCCTCGGGTAGAGAGGAGGCGAGGAGTCACGCTGCACACAACACACTCTGATCGTGAGTTCGCGACGTGCGCCTTACACACGCGGAGCTGGCGAGCCGCGCCGCCGCGAAGAGCTAGACTACCGGAGACACGGACATGGCGCACGAGGACGGCGTCCAGGTAGGGCTCCACGACGACAACATCTTGATTCTTGGCTTCTTACGAATTGCGATCACCGATCAGTTGTTTAGGTCTAAGGTATTTTTTTCCTTTTTATTTTTAATCTAAATTAATTATTCGTATAGTATTCCAGACTTTTAGTACTTTGTACCCGTATAGTTATATTTTTCTTCTAATTTAGGTGTTAGAATTTTGGGAAAATTACGTTCTTGCCCTTGTCCAGTACTCCAATTGTGATTTTGCCCCTCTTTTTTTAACTTTGTAATCTTACCCTTGCTTTTTTCAAACGAAGCTCCCGTCTACCCCTGCTTTGTAACACCGTCTAAAATGCTTGGATTAAATGGTAAAAAAAGAAAAGACACCTACATGAAAAGACAATGATACCCCTCAGTCCCTTTCTCCTTTCTCACCCGTTCGCTCGACCTGTTCCCGATGAGAAGTCACGGCTCGCAGAAGGTTTTCGTGGCCTGGCAGCGGCGCAGCTCCTCCTCCCTCCTTCCCGCTCCGTCCCCGGCGTGGCTCATCCTCCCTATTTCCCGCTCCCCCCGACGCGTCTCCTCCTCCCTCCGCCATACTCCGGCGGCGCGGCTCGCATGTTAGGGTTTGGGAGTACCGTGGCGGCGCGCGACTCATCGGTGGCGGCGCAGCTCATCCTCACTCCGCCCGCTCCTCCCGAGGCTCATGCTGCCCATGATGGGTGGGGCGCTGCGGCTTTCGCGGCAGCGCGGCCTCGCCCCCTCCCACGCTCGCGCCATTGCTTGGCGCGCGGTTGGGGGCCTCGGCCGCCGCCCGTCCCCGCCTCACGTGGTCGCGGCCGCACCATCTCTTTGCTCAATCGGGCACCTCTGGATAGTCAGTAGTCGGCCACCATAAAGCGATGCAGTATATTTGATGCTTTCGAGATGGGTACTTGTTGCATTCCTATACAAGGTTACTATGGGCATCGTGCGGCGGCGGTGCTCGGCGCGGCTACTGACGGCTCTGGCGGCGTGGGCCTTGAGTGGGCCAGACGGGCGGGCGGAGGCGGCATCGGGCGGGTGGAGCGGGCGGCTCCGTGCTGGACATGGCTCCCGGTGGCGCTGGCAGCGGGGTCTCGCGCCGCCTCCTCCCTCCTTCCTCCGCTCCTCCTCCTCCCACGCAGCTCTCGTGCCGCGCCTCTGCTGCTTCACGACGGCGCCGCACTTCGCCACCGATGATGAGGCCGCAGGGCGTCGTCGCCGCGCCTCATGGCCTGAGTCTGGCCCGCCACCGCCACCGTCGCGCCCGCCCGCACCGTAGAAGCGAGAGGAAGGTGGGCGCGTCGCTCAAACGGCGCCGCAGAACTCGGGTGGTCGTCTTTGGTGCGCCTACGGCCCGCCATCGCCCTCCAGCGCCCGCGCAAGCGCGCGTGACAAGGAGCCACCACAGGGCCGACTCTGCCGGCTCGTGCACTCGGCCGCTGACAAAAGTTGCTGACGACAGGCGCTGCTGCGCCAGGGCGGCACTTTCAGCGTCGCTTGCTCTTCCCAGCAAAGACCACAAGGATGGCCACGCCGGGCGCCTTGCTTCATGGCTCGTCGGGAATGGCCAACGACTTCCTGTCTTGCTCTGACAGCTTGCCCTTGGAGCGTTTCGCACGGCTATAGGTACAGCCTCCTGGTCTTCCTGCGGAGACAGATTGCGACACCGCCGCTGTCTCGCGTAGGGACGACCATTGTTCCACCGGCAATGCCGATGCAACGATCAGTACCAACACGGTAGTGTTGCCTATAATGGATTTTGGTGATGAAAACAGGAGCAAACGGATCTCTGATATGGAAGCAACTTGTATGGCGGTTACTTTTGCTGAAAAAACATGTACTGTATGACATTCCTATGTGGTAAGGTACTAAGGTTATCAGTGCATGCATCTACTTATACAGTTTGTTAACCGATGTTCTACATGTATTCTTATACATTGAAGATTTTTGTCCCACACAAAAGATTATATCGAAATATTTCTTATGGCGTTACATCTGTCATCATTATGAACCTTTTGGTCCCAAAATTTTGAATATTTATCAATATTAAATCTGAGTTCAAATAATTGCAAGTTGTGCCAAATATGTTTGACCAAATTTAATAAATTGTTAGCGTACAATAAAAAAGTCTAATTTCAAATCAGGATAAAATCATAATTAGCCATAACAAACAGGGGCAAAATCGCATGGGCATTCATGTCCTTTTGTATAAAGTTTAACACCGTTAGGGGTGGATGACGGAGCAAGAGCAAACTGGGGCTTCATTTTGAAATCGTAGGGGTAAATTCACCAAGTCAAAAAAACAGGGGCAAAAACACAATTTCGATACAAAACAAGTGTACAAACGCAAGAGCCCCTAGAATTTTAGAATGTTACCTGAGAAACATTTATCATGGGTGAGAAAAGAAAATGAATATATTATTTTTTTAATCTACATTGTTCCTCGATAATTATCATACATCTATAAATATATTGCTTAATCTATATTGTTTCTTGATAATTATCAGACATGTTAAATTAAAAATATGCTATTGAATTTGCTTTTGTTTTACGAGTAAAATTAGTGCCTATATATTATAAGATTACCGTTGCGACGAGATCACCGGAGGACCCTTAAAATCTCAGGACCGGCACTTCCTCTCCTAACATTTAAAATGGGTCTTTCATATAGGTACTCTGTTGAAAGCTATAGCTATTCTACCGAAGACCCGTTTTAGATTTTGATCTCCCGATGGATCTCACGGAGACAAGCCTTATCTGCAGTCACCTCCCTTTCCGGTACCGTTAGCCCCGTAAAGATGGGGGAGGAGGCTAGAAGCCAGAAGGATAACAAGTGTACGATCGGCAGGGGGACATGGGGGCAGCTGGTCGATAGCGCCAAACGACCAGCAGTGGGTGTCAGCGAGCACAGGTCAGCCGCCGGGCGGGGCGGGCACGCGGTGCCCGTCCATGTGCCCATCTCATCTGCCAGGGCAAAGGAGTCGCAGGCCGCACCCAGCCCAGGAGGCTCCAACGAGTGGCGGACGGGCGGAGTCGGCGTCTTCCAGCCAATAGCCGGATTGGCACACGCGACGCCCCAGCTGGTGTCTGCCACTGCTCGGATGGAATAGCACAGCAGAAAGTCAGAAATTAGTCGGCTAGAGCTATTTTACGGTGAAAGAAAAATACTGTAGATTCATGCCATATAATGTGCACCATTGTAGGAGTGCACGGAGAATGGACAGTGAAATCTGGAATTCTGTGCATAGGGATACACTGTTTTTCTGCCGTGTCAAAAGCAGGCTTGCAGCTGCCAATGTTGCCAGCACAAAAATTCATCCGGATTGCTGTACAAGCAGCCTCCAGCCGCTGATCAGGGGCTTGGAGACTACAGATTACTCACTCTACTCTTTTTATTTGTCGTTACCAGTTTCGGGGAAGTCATACTTACTTAACTTTAACCGAATATATAAAAAATATTAATATTTATGATACATATTCAGTACAATTAGATCGTTCGTTGAATCTATCTTCATAATAAATTTATTGAAGATATAAATATTACTAGTATTTTTTACAAACCTAATTAAAGTTAAGAAAGTTTGAACATGTTTCTCGTAGCGATAAATAATAAAGACAGAGAGAGTAAGTAATTGAACTACGATTGTTGCACATAAAACCAGATAGTATATAGGAGTACACGTTCCAGACTCCATAGAGTACAGAAGTACTATTTACACAGAGTTCCAGGGCCTGCGTGGAGTATGTACGAAGAGGGATGACGTCAGTAGTCAGCGTCAGGTGTTACCTGCAGATAGAGATGACCACAAGCTACGGGGACTCCTGTACACCATTGATCGATCCTGTACTAGTAGTAGTGCGCACGCAACACCTGCTACATCGTGGTGCTACAACTGGTCTCTCCTGCCGGCTTCCAACGCATCCAGTTCGTGGCTCGTGCGCGCTCCGGCGGTTTCCGTAGAGCGCTGCGTCTGCGTTCGGCTCTCCTCCTCCTCCTCCCGCTCCTGCTCGCTGACGAACCTCAAGTGCGCGTGCGGCCACAACCCTGCCATCACGCAGACAGTCAGGTCAGCGGACGCGTTTGGTTTTAGCCTGCAAGACAGACGATGGGACGTGCAAGTGCAACTAGAGAAGCACAGACACTGGAGTGTTTGTGCTGCAACTCAGGCGGTTTGCGTTTTGACAGTCAGGTCAACTGCCCTGGAGTCAGGTTTGCGTTTTGACAGACAGCCGGTTTGTGCTGCAACCTCAAGCACAGGCACTAGACAGTCAGGTCAACTGCACTGGAGTTTCAGAGTTCTGCGACTCAGGCGGTTCGCGTTTTGACTCATATATAGCGGTCGTTATGTTTTCAGAGTCTCATTCATTTCATCAGCCAATTTGTTCGTCTGCAGAGGTCTAGTATATCCTTGATGCAGCGCTCAGCCAGGATATTGTGAAATGTGAAGGGACTGCATTGTATTCAGGCAAGGGAAATAAACGAGGTATACCTTTCTCATCTGACGGAGCTGGGAAGAACTGCAGGTAGCAGACTGAAGCAACCACCAATCCTAAATAAACGAACATGACAAAACTCATCATCAGCGCCAAGGAGATAGCTAGCTAGTTTACGAGCAGTTAGCAAGGCTTGTCGTCTTGTCGAGGCCGCTAAACGCCATGCGCTCATTCAGTATTCACGAAGCCCTGCACCTACCGAGGACGCCGCCGGTGCAGACGTCTTGCCAGTGGTGCCAGTAGTCGTCCACCCGCGAGATGGCGATCAACGCCGCGACGAGCAGAGGCAGGAGGACCACGCAGAGCTTGGCGACGTGCCCCCTCCGATCGAACGCCGTGATCTTCCCGGCCAGGTACCACGACAGGAAACCCAGCCCGGCAAATGACCCTGCCACACCCACGGAACAAACATGGAAAATGTTGGTTAGCCACACTGCACAACATCACAAGGGACTAAGAATATAAGCCTTCGTTCACTGGATGCAAGGGTTTGCTCTCCAATTGTGATGTTCAGTAAAATTTAGCGTTAGTGTGTTGTTGATGCGTAACGTGAATTGCTTGCTTTTCCCATTGACTTAGGCTTTGGGTCATTGGGTGCAACATGTATATCGGGCATGTAAGTAATTCCACATTCTGTGGTAACAAGGCAACCACCTAGTACAGCTCACGAGTTTGAATTTTGGCTGGCTAATTTAGTAAAGGAATTGTTGCCTGCATATTTTTATGTCTGAGGTCTGATCGTTAGAAGTTAGAACAAGCTTAAAAGAGTGATGGGTCACTTTCTGAATATAACTGTTTAGTGCAAAGAACTCGATAGTTTGTACTTGTTTTTTTTTTGCCTAATTGGACTTTTATCAGAGTGTGTCCGGCTATTGTAGACCTGTCATTAATCCCAGTCATTCCCACTGTATAGCAAGGCTATCTTTCATCTACTCCCTCCGTTTCAAATTATAAATCGTTCGAACTTTTATAGATACATACTAAAAGCTATGTATCTAGATATAGTGTATATCTAAAAGCTATTGTATCTAGAAAAGTCAAAACGACTTCTAATCACAATCAGAATTTGTAGCTTCTAGTATTTAACACTCACCATTTAGCATAAGCTTTTCCCTACCAAATGTCTCCTAGGGGGAATTCTCATGTGCTTGGACTGGTGTAGTGTTCTTATTACTACTTAAAACACTAGAAGAACTTCACCATTTTGTTAGTGAATTTGAAATAGAGGAGTAAAATAGAATATAAACCTTGGTCAATTGCTACGCTAGTTTTTTAATGCACTTGCATAACTCTTGAGAGCATTATCTTGTCAAGGTGTACAATCGATGCCATTTCACTTCACTATGCTATTTGAAACTAGTCCGTGGGTTTTTAGTGCAAGTGTTCGCCAGTACTTGTTCATTAGTAATACGAAGATTAATGGGCTTTTTTATGAAGAAGAGTTAGTTAATGAATTGGTAATGATATGTCATCTATATCTATATAACTTATATACAGATGGGGGCCAATAGCAATCATTGATTGCTATATAAAGCTGAATTCTCAGCGTGCCATGTCATCACAAAATAGTGTCCGTTAGATTAGCGATTGGTTTTTGAACTAACGCACACAGCTTCCTACGGTCACCGTGGGTGTGTTTGGTTCCCTTCTTGGGTCCTAGCCTGGCTAGGAAATAAGCCAGGCTTGTCCAAGCAGGAACTCCTTGTTTGGTTGTTGTGTACTAGGTAAGCCTGGCTTGGTAGATTTTTGTTTTGTTGCCTGGCTTGGTACGGAGGACGCGGAAGAAGGGAGCGCGGCGGTGTGGGGAGGACCGGCGGAGACAAGCGGAGGAGAGTAGAGGCGAGCGGAGGAGGTGACGGGGATGGACATCGAGCTGGAGCCTGGCTAATGGGCCCATTTGGCTTATGGGGAGCCTGGCTAGAGGGCATGTCCAGGTAACCAAACATGTCTAACTTGGCCCCGTGGAGCCTGGCCAGGGTGAAGACATGAACCAAACAGGCCCTATATAACTTATCACAAAATAGTGCCACTATATAACTTAGACTCATCTGGCCGTCCATTATCCTCAACCAGTCATGCTTAGCTTCCTACACGCTCTGGCGATTAGCTTTTGAACTGACGCACACATACAGCACACGTTAACTTCAGGCACCCTCCAAAGCCGGAACAGCCGCATATGCCTACATCCACTCCATATAGGCGTTGCCTGCTTTCCTTTGTCTGTAGCTTTGTCACCTCCCCAACAATGGTAGAATCAATGCCAAGGGTTGTCATTCAACGGTAGAATATCATGTTCTCTTGAGTCCTGGATGCATGCCTGGTTTGGTCGATGGCTCTACGGTCTACACAGGTCCAGTACTCCAGTTACAGCAGCATAAATGTCAAGAGCCGTGACAGTGCCTGGTCGCTGAACAATTTTGTGTCCAAGATGATGTCGTTCCTCCTTTTAATCGGAGTTAATACTTAATTAATATAATCATGAATCAATAAGTAAAGCTCTGTTAGGTTGCCGATTCTTCATATGGAACCGCTACTTTATCTCTCGGACAGGATTGGAACTCCAAGGTCACAACTCACAACCCTCCATAGACGACAAGAAGCCACCATGCCGAGCTATAGACTGCAAAGTCCCTCCAATGCAAGGCTTCAGCCATTGTTCTTCACCTTCAGCCATTGTGTCTGATTCTCTCTCCCAATCTCAGATCTATCTAGCTTTGGACTAGCAAAGACTAACGTTTTTCTTTGGTTTTCACTCTACTTTTTTTTTAAGTGCAACTTGCATCGTTCATCAAACTTCATATTAAAAATGATCTCTAAATGATGACTCACAACTTGCAACGCGCGGGTTTTTTTACATAGTTATTATGTGGTTGCGAGTTGCAATGATGACTCACATGAGGTGTGGCCGCTGGGGAAGCTCTTGTGGCCTTCCTTGATGACGCTAGGATCACCATGGCATATGACTCCCGTTGTAATGTTGTTGTACACCTAGTAGATGGGACACCAGGTGGAAGTACTCTCAGGTTGGGTGGAAAACAAGTCCATTTAGTAGGGTGAGTTCGAGAGCAATATAATCGAGTTGCGACTTGTTACCGCTTTTCCATCAGGGAAGCAACGCCAGAAGAAGTTGGGGCGCGGCCGGCCGACGGCGTCCTTGATCGCGTCGGTCAGGACGCCCGTTATCAGCACAGCGAATAGGATGCCTGCACTTTGCCGGAAGGTCACCATGTGTAATGTAATGTATCCCTGGCTAGAACACAGTTCACAATATGCCGGAAAAGACAATGGCAGCAGTGAAGTTACCTAGAATCGCATGGTGCAGATCGTACACGTTCCTCCTCCTGATGTAGATGATGACAAAGATGATCATGGGCCCAATGACAGCGACGATCTGAGACAGATTAAACAACAGCACGATATATATATATATATATATATATATATATATATATATATATATATATATATATATATATATATATTAGGGAAAATTATGTTCTTGCCCTTGTCCAGTACTTCAATTGTGATTTTGCCCCTGTTTTTTTCAACTTTGTGTTTTTACCCTGGTTATTTTGAACTGAACTATCCGTCTACCCCTACTTTGGATGTCATCTTATGCCCAGTGAATAGATGAATTAAAAAATTCCAAACCTGAAAATAAAAACCAAATGCCTCGCTGCCCTTATCCCTTCCAAATTGTTCCTCGACTCTCTGAAACACATCGGAGAGGAGGCGGGCGCGGAAGGGCATGCATCTTGCGCTGCTCTTTCTCAAAGTCTTGGGACGGGGACCAGGAGCAGCAGCGCCAGATCGAGAGCGGGCGGCAGCGGCTCCCGCGGCGGGTCTCCAGCCGCAGCGCTACCGACGTCTTGATTGGGCTCTGAGGGGCGGCGCGCCTTGCACCGCAGCCAGCAGGCGCAAGCAGGCAGGCAGCGTAGTGTGTAGTCTTGGCTGCCTCCTCCTCAGGGTCGGCGATCACGGGCACGAGGGCCACCGTGGGTGCCATCACCGCCGCAGACGCGAGCTTCGGTCGCGAACACGAGTTCTAGCGGTAGCGTGGTTCGTCGAGGTCACGACGTCTTTGCAGCGGCCGACGACGAAGGAGGAAGAGGCGGATCTGGGAGTCTCCGCGACGACGAGGTGCACGAACCAACGCGGATACGGATCAGCACCGGCTAACCCCGCGGCCCCACCTCCCTCCCTTCCTTTTCCTTTCTTCTCCTCCCCCCCCCCCCAGCAGCGGCGGCGGCGCCCGCCTCCTATTTATCGCCGCCCGCGCCCGTCTTACGGTTCCTCTCCTCTTCGTCGGACCAACAGCCACACACAAGTGCACAATCACGGTGAGAAGAAGAAGCACATCCACCAGCAGAAGGGACAAACAATCCGGCGGAGTCCAGTCCAGTCTCGGTCTTGGTCCATGGGTGCGGAAAAAGGAGGAGGAGGCGGCGCGGCAGCAGCCGCGGCCCGGCGCCGAGCCCGCGCAGCCCGTCGTGCTGAAGATGGACCTGCATTACGCCCGCCTCGCGCGCACAAGGTCAAGAAGGCTATTAAGCGCGTTCTGGTATCGCATATCGCCCGTGACAACATTCGTTTAAGCGGCGTGGTTCTGCAATTCTGTTTGTTCTAGGTTTGATTCACCGGTTCTTGTCGCTGACTACTTGTTCAAGTACTTGCAAGCTCGGTGGTCTCGTTACAGGAAGCATCATGATTTTTTTGATTCATTTATCAGATGGTACTTTTCAAGAGTTTATGATCTTTGCCATTCCCAATTGTAGCAACGCATTTTACGACCTAGTAATTTCCAACTGTAATTTGACTCGGTGGATTAGGACCGCAACAGTTTAACAGATTTCCAACTGTGTTTTTGAATATTTTTTCTAATATTAAATCTGATTTGAAATATTGCAAATTGTGCCAAATAAATTTGATCAAATCGAACGTTTTTTATTAAAATACAATATAAATGTCTTATTCTAAATTAGGGGTGAAATCACAAATAGCCATAAAAAACAGAGACAAAATCACATGGGCATATTTGTCCTTTTTATAAAAGTTAACACCGTTACAGAATGATGACGGAACAGAGGTAAATTGATGTTTCGTTTTGAAAACACAGGGATAAATTCACAAAGTTAAAAAGTTAGGACAAAACCATAATTTTAATATAAAACAGGGGCAAGAATGTAAGAGCCCCTATACAGTATATATCCTTGACCCTGACAAAATTGGTGAGCGAGCGAGGGTCGGAGATAGAGAGGAGGAGGATTGTTTGCCGCACGTACCGGCACGGCCCAGACGGGGACGGTGTTGCTTTTCATGGGGTATCTGAGGTCCGTCATCATGCCGGCGCCGACGAACCGGTGGAACGGCTCGATGACGTTGAGCAGCACGTCGACGGCGACCAGGAGGAGCAGCGCGACCCAGTCCCACGCGTGAGACCGCGCCACCTTGCGCATCGTCGGCAACGACGAGCACGCCGGGGCGGCTGCGGCGCCATGGGAGGCCTGCATCTCCAGGGGGACGGCGGCAGCTGCAGCTGCAGGTTGATGATGATGATCTTCGCTCGGGACCTCGCGGTACGAATAATGCGCCGACGACCTCGAGCCGCTGAAGGAGGCGAGATCGAGCAATGCCGGCGCCGGTGTCGTCGTTGGCTTGCTCTTCTTCACCTTGCTGCTGGATCCTTTTGTTGGGCTACGAATCATGATGTTTTATAGGAATAAATTGGACCCCAACTGTTGCGGACTGGATCTGTGTGCGTCGATCCAATGCGAGGCAATGACGGTGATAGTGCGGTGTTGCGGTTGCGCGCGGGCCATTATTTTGGTGGTTGATTTGGGGAATTGCTTGGGAGTTTCCTTCTGCAGTTACGCCCTGCCTATAGATAGTTTTTATTGACGTGAATCGAGACCGGCATGTGAGTTGGTTTCGGGCGATAAACTTTGGCGCGTAGGAGTACGTAGAAATGGTAGGTTGGTAACTGGGGCGGGCAGCGCGGCCTGTTACGCTAGTGGTATTACGCAAGTTGGGATCGAGGTGAGGTACTGGTGGCACCGCGTCCAGAGCGTGTCTGCACCGCGGCAGCCGGCAGGTTCGCTGTTCGCGCCCCCACACGTTCGATGGACGATGGGACTGCCACTGCATAGAATCAGCTCAGGTTTCTGCGCAATTGCAAGGACCCGGTTGACTTATCAAGTCTCCCAATGTGGTTTGTTTTAGGCCCCGTTTAGATCCAAATTTTTTTGGATTTTGGCTCACTGTAGCATTTCGTTTGTATTTGATAATTAGTGTCTAATTATTGACTAATTAGGTTCAAAAGTTTCGTCTCGCGATTTCTCACCCAACTGTGCAATTAGTTTTTTTTTCGTCTATATTTAGTACTCCATGCATGTACCGCAAGATTCGATGTGACGGGCACTGCGCAAAATTTTTTGGAATCTAAACAGGCCCTTAATCAGAATCCAAAAGCGGAAGACCCATCGGAGCCATGCGAAGTCAATGTGAGCATTTTCTCTCTTTCGAATATGCAAAATCACTACTACACAAACTTTACTAGAGGCCCACGGAACCGATTTACCGCGGCGGGCGGTGTAACATGCCCGCTGCGGTAAATATACTTTTACCACGGCGGACACGTTACACCGCCCGCCACGGTAAATTATTTTACCGCGGCGGACAGCTTTTGTGGTCCGCCGCGGTTATGTTCATTAGCTGTGGCGGGCTTTATTATTTGCTCGTCTCGGTAAATTATTTCCCGAATTAAAAAAAATACAGCAGGCATATAAATTCAAATTCAAATCACATCCAGATTTCACAGATTAAACTTAAAAAGTATGCAGGCATTACACATGAGATAATATACATATATATACATTCACTTAGTCGTTCTTGTCATCGTTAATTCATTACATTTACATATTAAAGTCGTTATACATACGCTAAGGAGTAATCCTGCGGACGCATCATCGTGGGCCATTTTCTCAGCCTCTCGTACTCCAGTAAAATCGCTAGCGGGCTGTTCTCATTGAAGAACGTACCCCCTTCAAGCACGCATTTGTCTAAGACAAACTTACATATGTCCGCCTTTGTCTGTTTGAAGGAGTGTTGGGTGCTCTACACGTCTCTCGACCAGTTCAATCCATTCTTGAGCACCCTCCAACTGCTGCTGTACTGCTTGCACGCCCTCAGGAACTCATAGGCGTAGAAGCCACAGGTTTGTGATCCTACCGGTTGTTTGGCACACTGCATGATCGATACACAAGCATTACAACACAGACATTAGAACACATATGAACGGAAAGCACAATTAAACCTTTCAAATACTTACCGGAAAGTTACGTCTGATTTTGATGCGGTTCTTATGCTTAGCCTTAAAATTCTCTGTTCTTCGATCATAGCATTCAGGATCCTTCACGTACTCCTTATAAGCGCTATATGAAATGTACTAGTATTAGGCATGGCATTAGAACACATATGAGAAAATAGTTCAGTCACTTACACTCTGAGGCAATCTTCAAAGGTCTTGTACCCTTTTAAGTTTGGCACCGTCAATGAATCAAATACGCAGGCCCTGCCATCCTGAGGGTAGATGATAAATGCAACCCAGTGACCCTCGAGGCCTTGGCTGCGCCATTGAAACAAAATACAGGTTATGACGAGAAATAATAATACTAGCTAGCTACCCACTTATCTCTACAGGCATATCTTCGACTTACCCAAAGTGGTAGGCAGCTAGGATACACCCATTTCTCCTGATCTTCTTCATTGCTCCTAGTATGTACCTTGAAATGTTCAACTTCTCATTGTCCATCAGTTTCTTCATGTGCGCCTCTCTCTGTCGCTTGGTCAAGTCTTTCATGGTTGGATGATTGTCATCTAGGTGGTAACCAATGATGATTCTTTGAGCAATATGCATTGAAGATAGATAGATAACATCAAGTTTTAGTTCCTTGGATATATAGCCCATCAACCTGCAAGGACAAGCCATCGTGGCATATATAAGTAGTCTTGACTGATTCAAAGGCAGGTGATATGTGAAACTCACAATTCATCACTTACATAGAGAACAAGGTGACTTGGGCGATGTCAAGGTCTTGTTCCCACAGTAGTCTGTACATGTCGTGGAAGTCCACGGGGAGTTCTACATCGTTGCCGGGCAAGTGGAAGTACTCCGCCACAACCTTGACTAGAAAACCATGCAGGCCAGCTTTTGCCGCTTCCATGTACCAGAGATGAAACCTCCTTGTCTCCCACCTTTCCTCGTCGACGAGCTGGGCCTTGGTTATCATGAACTTCCCATGCTCGTAATGGCCGGGGCAGTCATCCGATTCAGGAAATAGATGGAAAGGTGATCTCGACCTGGGATAGAAATGTTAGTACCATATTATGGCAAAGAAAAGTTATTAGCAAATTATGCTCGCCGCTACCATACCTTTCGAACTCAAGTGAGTATGTGAGCTGCCCTTGGTCGCCTTTAGTCTTCACCGGCAGTGGAGGACAGTGGCTTGTGCTCACAATGGCAGCAGGCGGTGTCTTTGCCTCCGGTTCCTCCATGCCTCCCGGTCCTTTGCTCGTGCCCTTAGACGGACTGCCGGGAGGTGGAGGTGGACTTGTTGTTGGAGGAGGAGAACGAGGGTGAGGGCTTGTGCCTCGGGGTGAGTTCCTTCCCTTGTCATCCCCGCCATTGCCTTCGTCATCGCCGTCGCCGTGATCCGGATCATCGAGGGGACAAGATCCGACAACGGATGGTTGTGATGTTGGTGTCGCCGCTAGCGTAGAAGTCGGCGTCGAGAGAATGATCTCTATGTCGTCCTTGTTCCACAAGACTTCAGAACCCATGGCAGCTCCAAGGATCGTTACCCCTTCTGCAGTTGGATATTCCATTTCAAATTCTCCGTATTCAGTCGCATACCATGTAAGTATCACGGCAGCATAGTTGGCAGGGATCTGGTCTTGGTTGAAATCTTTGATATCTTCTTTGGGGTGCATGTAACCCTCACCCACGGTCAACTTTTTCGCCCTACCGAACGGGATCGTGAGGTGGACGCGCATGGGTTCCCGGATGTCGTCGACGGGGTGCCTTGGGCGATCCTCGATCATCGGCAGTGGCTGCCCTTGTGTCTGCCTTTGTGGAACTTGAGGCACGGCCACGCCAGCCTAGCGAAGCATCCGTGACCTCATCGACACCATATTTGGGTCATTGCTCGTGAGGGCTTCTTTTATGGACCGGCTGATCATTTTGGCCACGCCTTGATCATAGCCCTTCTGAAAGATGCCCTCCTTGTACCTCTGCCTTGACCGGTATGTGGCAGCATCGGATTGCCATGACTCCACTGAGTTCCAGCTCATCTTCGACAACATGCCACGGATGCGGCCACGGTGCTCGGGGGTTCCCAGCGCCAGGGTCAGCAAGTCCTGGCCCCTGCGAACCTCGAAGCTGTCCTTGGATTTAGCGGCCTCGATGAGAGCCCTCTCCACCTCCTCGAACTTGGGCTCATTGAACTTGCTCGCGCCCTCCTTGAGCTTCTTCGGCTTGCGGGCATAGATGAAGTCCTTAGCCCTTAAGTCTACACCGTCGTATGGATCGAGAAGCCCAGCGACAGCTCTAGCCCTTTCTTCCTCCCACCACTGGGGCCTCTTACCAGCAAACCCAGTCATGCCCAAGTGGTGGGGGTGCATGTTCTTCTTCGCGAGTGCGCTGAACTTGGCGCTCTTTGTCTTTGCTTCTTCTGTTGTTCTTTGTTTGCAGAACTCTTCCCAGTGATGTTCCTTCACCATAGTGTATTTGACACAGGGTGACTTGCCTAGCTTCAGGTAGTACCTGGTCAACATGGACTTGAAGTTTCTAAAGGCTCTTCCTACCACGTGCATGACCCACTCCCTGCACTTGTTCAGATCGGCGTCCTTGGGATAATGGAAGCTCCTCGTCACCTCACCCCAGATATGTGTCTTGTAGTCGACTGGGACATTGTTCCACTCCTCCCAAGTGATCTCCACCTTGTCCTTGACTATACATGCCACCTGGTTGCTGAACTTGGCAAGGACTGTGGGTGGCAACAACGTGTTTCCCTCTGGTCCCACCTCATGGATCACATGGACTTCGCTGTGGGTTTCCCTCCGGTGCCTCCCGTGTTCCCCCCTTCTTAGCTTTGTCCTCTGACCCCTAGACTTGCCTGAAGTGGTTGGAGATGGAGCGGGGGGTTCTTTGTCCCTGACTTGTTCCTCCTCGAAATTCAATTCTCGAGGCACCACCGGCATCTGTTCAGGATTTGGAGACCACACACTTTCAACTTTGTCGTCCCTCGATTGGTAGGTCAGATCATCTTCCTCCTCTGTACGACATTTCTTTGTTGGCCTCAGGGTCACGAACACTTGGCTCTCGAGGCTAGTTGATGATGATGCACTAGGGGTAAGGTCGCGCCATTCGCTTATCGGTTCCTCCGCCATTGGAAAGCTACAATGAATACATATTTTAGTTGTATAGACACAGTTATAGAGTAGTAAAGTAGAG